TAAGACATAATGCACATAAGGACATTGAATTTTTGTGAAAATTACATTTGTAAAGATCTCAATGACTGAACGTGATCATTCAGATCTCAACAAAGTTCATTTAACTACTTAGAGTTACAATAGCAGAACCAGTCGATATCAGACAGATAACAAGCGAAGTGATAGAAGATAGTGGGGAAGATTTGTTACTCAGGTTGACAATTCTGGTGGGGTTTTGTTCTCTAAGCTGGATGGTTTGGTCATGGAGCTTTCATCGTTCTTCTGAACAACATTATCAACACAAACTTGGCCAATCAAAATCGAGGTTTACAGGACAAGCTGTATGTCATGTGTGCAGAAATTCTAACACTTCATTTCCACCTGAATTTTGTGCTGATGAAGTTGTCCAGAAGAACGACGAAGGCTCCACGACCAAACCATCCAGCTCAGAGAACAAAACTCCACCAGAAGTGATGGGATTGATGATCTCCTCATTTAGTCAATAGTTTAGTGTTAACAGCAGATTTCAATAGACAAAACCTCTGACATATTTGGTGAGTTAAAACTGCCACTGGTAAATGAACAAATCCAACCAGGATATCATAATCAAAAAGAAATATCACACAGCAATGTATGTACAACTACTTCCACATCTCATATGATTAACTTCTATCTACGATTTTCAGATTATCTGAATCTTACGCTAGTGTTATTGCTAATACCTATTGATTGCTTGCATTGTTCAATGTGAATGTCTAATTTCAATCAGTCCATGATCTTGTACAACCGTTCATCCATTATCCACGGTGGATAACGGTCTCACATTCGACACGATTAAACTCCACTGGTTATCGTTTCTCACTAGAACTTCAATAAACTTGTTTTGCATTACTTAGGATTTAGTTGAATGTAAATTATGACATCTTACTTTCAGTAAATTGTGGTCATATAATTAATGTATGTATCCCTTCGAGTTTTCACTTTCGAATAATAGACTTACTAGCTTGTCACATTCATCTGACTAGCTATTGGAGATATAATTAATTCATTAAACCAGTTGAAGTTAACATTTCTCGATCATTGTTTACGGTCATTGACTTACTGGACTCAGAGTAGATCATTGTTCTGATAGACGTTAGTGAATTTGTAATTAGTCGACTCTTGTGATTTGATCAAGTAAACTTATGAACGACTGAAGGTTCTAACACGTTCATGTTTTTAATTAATTGTAATCATTTTTTATGCTAAACATTTTATAGTCCGTGCATATTATAGTTAAACAGAGTGATTACTTTTGTTTACCAGTTATTCTGTCTTTTTGCATTAGTTCATTGGAGGCTTAGACTTAATAATTTGTTTATAGTGAGTAATCATCATCACAATAGCCTCGTTATTCCTCTGGAATTATATCACGTGTTGCTACCTTAACATAGTGTCATTTGTTTTCCGTTGGTTTTGTTGGTCAAATTACATATTTTAAATAATGATTTCGAAATATTTTTCTAGATTCATACGTCAAAGTTCATGATATTTGTACTTCTTATTGCTTGAATTGGGCTACACCACATCACTTGTTCAAAACTAGTTTGTTCTTGTATTGGATTAATGGTAGTCTGAAAATCTCCCATAGAGTAATTTGTAGGTCACCTTTATGCATTTTGAAAACTGGTTACGAATTTTAGGGTATGTACACATGTTTTATCAAATGATCTATCAATGTGATATGATTTCCACATGAATTTAGACAATCAATTATACATTTACACAACAAATAGCGATGGTGGTTAAAATTTATTATTTTGTTAATTATAAATGAATGTTGCTTCAAAAACAGAGAATATTTTTTAACAATTTCGTCATCAGACACTACAGTTAAAAGTTCATAATTATTGTGTTCTTTTACGAGGCTAAAATTATGCAAGTTAGTGACTAGAACTGTGATATATGATAAAGCTGGTGAACTTTCGCGTCTATTATGGCCTAAATACTTCGAAATTGTGTTTGTAAATCAGGCAGGTGATTTACAAAAGGTCAGAATGACCCGTTGTAAGGTGTCAAGTTGTAATCAATATAATAATGTTAAAATGAATCGTTTCAATCGAGTACATTGTAGGAGAATTTCATCGGAGATAATGGAGATTGTAGTTATAAAAACAATAACGCCATGTGAGTATAACGTGTAATAATTAAGGTGTTGTCTGGGTAATTATGATAAGAAATTCAAGTGAAGTGTAAAAGATAAATGTGTAGATGATGAAAGGGGAAGGTGTAAGTGGTTTATGATATCCAGTTTATGGATATGATGATCCAGTACTGGACCAAGGTAAACACTGGGACTGAACATACTTCTTTTACATACATCCATTGAGTTTTCTAGAGTCGATCCACGTGGTTTCATCTATGTAGAGGAGTCGTAACCTTACACCCTCAGGTAAATTGTTTGGAACTTCATACTAAACAGAGAAAGCTTTATCTGTTTCAATATGATGTTCACCATCTACTAAGTAACGAGTAGTGGGATTGTTACCCGATTTCATGACATCTTTTCCCATTTACGCGTACGCAAGCATAGATCTCTCCAAATATAGCCTACGTAACTGACTTCACTAGTACAGTTAAATTGATAGATGCACAAAGAGAAGGGAATCTTCGGTATCCCGTCCTTGCTACGTTCTGCAGGTATTGGTTTAGTTAGGGTCACTGGTAACTTGGCGACGTGAAATGTCTTTTTAATAAAAACCAACATGCTAAATTGTCACCTTTAAAATTGAGTTTTAGTTAGAGGGCTTTCTTGTTGACTGTGTTCGAGTTCGTACTGTTCTTCCATTTTGATATATTTTTTTGGCGAAGTAATCTTATATAATAGTTTGATCCTGTGGCAGAAAAATTGGACTAGATTTGCATGGTTACGTATCGCATTAACTAATTTGAAAACCATCTACACAGTGCAACGATTAATTGCGAATCGGGTGCAAATCAATAACACGTTCGTTACAGACATGCTTATAATTCAGATGCTTAAATATGGTGGTATGCAAAAGCTGTACTGCATACGCTCCCGTATTATCATCGTCAAAAATCTCTCAACTCCTCGTTTCCGTTAGACTATTTGTTAATATTCCTTTGTAATGTTTGTTAAATGTCTAGACACTAACTTTTCCTATTACCTGGAAAGGAAGTTTGTGGCGAACACCGATTGATCGGATTATTTTGGCAATGACTTGACTTCTGATAATTTTACCGTTGAGTTATCTAGGGATATCAGTATACTCTTCCTAATTCTTGAACCTGGTGCTTAGATGTCTTTCCGATACATGTTTATATTGTGAAAAGATTGAGTGTTTCATGCATATGTCAGAAAAACGTGTTCAAAACTCCACCTATAGCTTTTCTAGAGTTACTGCTGGTCCCAAGCCCTGGTAAAGAATGAGGGCTGGGAGTGGTGTCAACAAATTCATCCCGTAGAAAATAACCTTGCTAAAATACGTTAACCAGTAAGAACAACTTAAACCATTTATACTCTGTCCTCCGACTTGAAGATTCTTCGTGAAGTAGAGTTATGATGCCTCACATTGAAAGCCAATATTCGTCCGAAGTCACGACGCCAATATCCCTTCTAACAACCACAACAACAATTATTATACATACATACAATGCCCAGACAATACGGAAGACCGGGAGAATTAGACAAATAGTCACGGAAGTGTTGGAGATACAACTTGGTGGTGCTCGCAACAAGGGAAACCAATCAGACTCAAGCTATGCAAAAAACTTTAGATACGGGAGAGTTGCTGATGTACTCTGGTCATGAAGAAGAAAATGCTCCGCACACGTAGGGAGTTGCTCTGATGCTGTCTAAAGAAGCGAGAAAAGCACTTATAGGATGGAAATCTCATGCATTCAGAATCATCAAATATCCTTCAAAACAAACATGAAGGGGGTTACAATGAATGATATCCAGTGTTATGCGTCAACCAATGTTGGCAGTGGAGACGACATGCTTCCGGTTCAAGGGATCGTCTTATCCCAAATGGCATACGGTACTTAGCGGGACGTCACATAACTGCAGTTGGTCGAAACAATCTAAACCTAGTAAATTTAGATCAGCTAACATTATGAAATCTACCCCGGTGAACGTCGATTCTTCGAAAGACACTCTACACTAACTGTTCAAGTCGATTTCCTATATATAGATCTTTGTAAAGAACCATCTGACCTTTTTTCTAACCGCACAACAAGAAAATTATGTTCATCGTTCACCTCTGCTTCTAATGTGAATTGAATGGAATGATGACATTTTTGAATTGATCCGAAATTTCATTGAGGCTCATATCTTCTTCATCAATAATGAAAGTATCGTCCACATATTTCTGATATGAATGAAATCTCCCAATTATTGATCGAAGTACAGTATATTCCAGATTGGTCATGCAACAATTAGTCAAGAGAGAACCCTTTGCAACTCAATAGGTTTATCTATAGGAATCATTATTAAATCTGAATTGCACATTAGAAGTATACATCACGTTTTGTTATTCGTGATTATTCTTTCAGTACACTGTATAGATGGTATTCTACAGTCCCAATGATATAAAGTAGGGGAATATTGTGAATTCATATAAGGTAAGTAGATTTGGAAAAGTCAACTAAGTTACAGCACTAAAACACTAATTTATAGAATCGACGGTAGCGGATGGAACAAAGTGATTCTCACAGATAGGTGTGAATAAATCTATTCAAACAAACAATACCAAGTGAATTTAAACTTCACTCCTTTACACAAGCAAGTGGCTATCAGGACTCAGTAGCTAATTGGATCACACAATGGAGTTTGAAGCGAACGGTACTGCACTCGAGTCTCAGAGTGAACATCAACTCTGAGATGCAAGTACATCCAGTTGACAAGTCCCAAATAGGACGAAACGCACGTCCTAGATTCCACTGCTAGCCATTATCCATTTTTACATATTTAGAAAAACCGTTAAACTGATTGTTCATAATATCATCAAAAAGAGATTTTACTAGTCAAGATTAACTCATATCATTTTTTCAATAATGTGTTTATATGAAATTCACAGAATAACTATTTTTTGTTGTTGTTGCTGTTGAAAACTTCTACACATTGAAAATTGTGAAAATACAGATACTATTTTATTTGAAGTATAAAAAAGAAGAGAAGAAAACAGGAAATAGAAGAATTTAAAGAAGAAAACAAATAAAAGGAAACATAATTCTTTTTTAAACTAACGTTTAATTGTTTTTTCTTCAGCATATTATTATTATTATTTTTTATTTATTCATTCTCTTGTACAGCTTTCACACATTTTGCCATAGTTTGAGAAGCTCGACTAATACAATCTGTAATATAATAATCTTTTAGTGTTAATAAGCTAAGTTTAATTGGTTCATTTGTATTCATCGTTTGAACTGGATTCTGTTTAATATGTAAAATGTAATAAAAATAGGTTAAATAGAAAGATTATTCCGAAAATATTGAAGTCTATTACTTGCTGGTTGATAGAATGATAAATATAACTCATATATATATATATATAAACTTAAGTCAACTCTTCAAATTTTGTCCAACTATTACGTAACCCGTGTTAATAAACATTGACAGGTTCAGTTTTCTCACTACTTCCAATTTACATGTACGTGTCAAAGCACATATATTGGAAGAACAGAGAGAAGAGTACATGATCGCATTTCCGAACACGATCCAAATGAGAGGTACAACGGCTCAAAATAATGCGTAGACGTGATAAATCATTCATGAAAAAATAATGTCAGACCATAATTTATGAACGACTATTAAGTGACGCTAAAGTGACCTTCAGACAACTCATCTATCTACTAAGGTCAGAAGAGGATTAGAAATTAGTATAATAAATTGCGGTTCAGAGTTAGAAAGTAAACATTTTCATTACGAACTGAGATAAGCTATAATGCCGAAATCCTATTAACCTATATGGATAAATAAATTTCGTGCTAAAATCCTTAATTTCATTGATTCGTCCCTAAACTTATAGCTTCGGTGTAATTATGATTTAACTACAACTTCACAGATTGGGAATTATTTTAACTAAACACTATTGTTTTACAGATGACGACTACATATATACATAGAATTGTAATGAAAAAAAGTGATAATATTTTAAGCAAAGATGGATAGTGGCTAGCAGTGGAATCTAGGACGTGCGTTTCGTCCTATTTGGGACTTGTCAACTGGATGTACCTGCATCTTAGAGTTGATGTACACTCTGAGACTCGAACGCAGTACCTCTAACAGCTACTGAGTCCTGATAGCCACTTGCTTGTGCAATGGGGTGAGGTTTAAATTCACTTGTTGTTTTACTTGTATCTTCCCATTGTTATTTAGGACTGCAATTGATAAGTCTCTTTTTGACATATGAGTATAGATACACCCCTGAAACGGTTGACCAGTAAAAACTTCCTTCTCACACTTAGTCTTTCACTCAAGTATGCGGGTGGACTCGTGTATATGATTATTAAACTCATACATCACAATACATAATACATCCTAAATTTTATAAAGGGATTTAAACATTAATCTATAAATTACTTTGGATAAATTATCAGCCAATGTTTGAACTTCTTTGAGTGATGGTTGAATTGTATTTAAATCTAATAAACCAGGAGCAACTTGACTAATTCGCGAACGAATTTGATTTAAATTATCATAGGGTAAGGTGATACCGACCACTTCAGAGATAGCACGAAATATTTTCCAATCTTCTCGACCCAATCCAGGTGGAACTACAGCTAATCGAGTTTGTTGAGCACGTCCCTCGGTATTGGCATAAATAGCATCTTTTTCAGTATAAGCAGCTCCAGGTAAAACGACATCAGCTAATAATGCACCTGCATCACCATGATGACCTGCGATGGATATGGAGAAAGAGAATAATATAGTAGAAGTCATTTGTTCGGCAATAAATGAAGTATTGTTTACCATGGGAAAAAGTTTCTTGAATTAGGTGATATAGGTTTGAGTTACGCAAGATGAATTAGTTTCATAAAGATTTTAAGGTACGTCTCTACAGTCGAGGGCTAAAAGACACAAAATCTAGATTCAAAGTTTTGCTCTTAATTACCTGTATTAGCTTGGCTTCTAGATAATCCTTTAAGCTTCGTATATCAATCACCGTGATAACCGTAATACTACAAAGCCAGACAAATTTTTACTGTCAGAATAACACTGTCTATTAAATAAACAAATTCAAGGGCTTAACAAAATCGACCGTAAACAAACTTAATTTTAGGAGCGATGATATATATCTTTGAGCACTGAACATACAGCTAACATAACCAATATCCTAGTGAAAGTTAAATATGAGTAATAACATTCAGGCGTAATGCCTAAAATAATATTTAAAAAAACTCATGATTTAAAGTTGGTAGAAGAAAAATGATATGTGTAAACGTTATTGAGACCGATCACGAGTCGTATCACCCACCAGTAGTTTTCAACCAACGATACGATTATCTTGTAGATGCACAGTCCGGATAAACATAGTATTAGAAGGAATTCAAAGTATTACAATAGATAATTTTATATAATATGCTTTGGTTTGGACACTATTATATGAAATATTCATTTATGGTATGAAAAATCAAATTAAATGATAATGATTATTTTAGCTTACCAATATAAACTATAAAACTATCGGGAGCTAAATATTGACGTGTAATAAGATTACGATCAGCACCCAGAAGGAAAAGAATTTTTGGTTTATTTTGTTTGATTATTTCTATGTCTGATGTGTAACCTAAGTCTAGAGCGGCAACTTGACTTGCATACTGAAATAGAAGTGAATGGTACAAATGGAAGATATGTTATTCAGTAGTTCATTTATAAGGTAATAAATACATACAAACGTGTAAAGTGAACAGCCCCTTAACATAAGGATACATGGACTCAGGTTAGAATTGTGATAACGTGACATGCTACCAATGATATTAATGTACATAAATAACCATGGAGATGAATTTAATTAGAGAAACATCAAAATTCCGAATCAGTGAAACACCAAGAATGTCAGAGAATTTTGCGAAATACGGCATTCAGATCAATTAGCAATCTACAGACATATCGACATAGACTTAGTCTACGAAGCTATGAGGAAGGGACCAAAAGGTAAACCAACAAAGATGGTTAGTGAAAGTGTAAAGACAAATTAAGAGAACATAGTCTGTAAAGACAGTCAACCACAAACAAGACCGTTCAAACGAACTGATCTAACACTAGTGGAGTAACTGAAAAGTTGAGTTCCATGTAAACTAGGCGCTGAAGATGCTGTTTAAAAGGACAATAAAAACTGTGATTAGCTTAAAGAGAGCAACACTATCAGGATGTATACAAACCACTAGATTTTAACTCAGCAATCTCAATATAAAGCTCTCGGTGTTAGATCTGAAAGTTCTGGGTTTGGTTTCTGAAGAGTCTCATACCAGGATAAAACAGCTATTCATTGCTTCTTAGTTCACAACAATTATCTAAGATAAGTCCATGATGTAAACTGTGAAACCCAACAATTTCCACAATACCCCTAAATACAAATACATTAAAAGCACAAATTCTGAAATAAGTAACAAAAAAGTGAAAGCGAAAGTCATGATGCATTATGGATAATTGAAACACAAGAAAACAACACTTACACGATGAAGAACATTGAACACTTGATAGTCCAATTTTTTTGTTTCCTTTAAATTTGCGGAAATTCGACGTACAGCGTTATGAATTGCCGCTGCATCCTTACGTTGTAAACATTCGCTACCCAAAATTATTATTGGGTGAGACGAAGAATTTAAACGCTTTAAAATTAGTAAAGTAGTAAGTTAAAAAAATAGAATAAATTACAAAGTGAAGAGAACAATAAGTAAATAGTATGAGAATCAAATGTTTAAATGTTAGTGGTATCTGGAGAGGTAACTAGGTGCTCAGTGGTCTGGAGGTTAGGCGTTTGCTTGCAAGACAAAAGGTCCTGGGTTTGATGCATACTGATGAAAGGTCAACTACTAGGACGTAACGACCGTTCATCTCTCCCAGGTTTTCAATGGTTTTCTAAATTAAACCAGTTAATAATTTCAATGAGGTACTGATGTATTTGATATTGTGGCCTCAACTGGTTAGTACGTCACTTCGCTTCATTTACACCTGTTACACCTCATGGAGAAGCATAGACCGTCCACCAGGATTCTCCAGCTTACTCTGTCCTGGACTCTCCTTTCCAGTTGTTCCCAACTGTCATTTATTCTTTTGAAGTCTGCCTCCAAATGCAGAAGCAATGTGTTCTTTGGTCATCATCTTTTCTTTTTGCATTCAGAATTCTAAGTTAGGGTTTGTTGGATTTGGAGTTCATCAATTCACAAAATACAGAACGATCACTAATTTAAGAAATATGATAAGGCAAAGTTCAGTGTTTATCATGTCACTTATTTCAGTGTAATCGAAAGGAAAATTTTAGACATTCATTTAAATGTTTCTTAGCAGTTTTCAGACCCAGGTAAGTGGAAATTATACTGTTCGGAAGGACCGAAATCTGGTTTTCTTGATGTGAATTGACATTAAGTATACTGGTATGTTTTTATTTATTTTATTTATTCGAAAACATAAATATTGGTACAAAGGGGCACCAAATAAATATGCGCCACACAAGTCACTTGATTTGTGTATGGACTAGAATACTGCCCGGATGCCCAAACTGAAGCAGCTAGTTTTCTTAGAATGCCACATTTGGGACCTTCGACATGAAGGTCTAATGCACAAGGTATCGGAACAACGTAAGGAGATGTAGTCCTATGGTAGCCAGTGACCAACAATTGGTTGAAACGCCATTTGTTCCCTCAGGATACTGGAGCCCATGTGCACCATTGGTTTGAAATCATGGTTTTCCAACTCTTCTAGGTGGATCCTGCATATCCACCAACCCTGTTAAAGCGTTGGACATTCGCTTTTCATTCTCTCAATTTTGTAAACAACACCCCCGCCACAAGAAGGCAGTAAGTAGGACTTCCCTGGCAGTGGTTGTATGCGCGTGGCCATGTGAAAGCATTTGGAGAGGGAGAGCTGCCTCTCCCCACTCTCGGTCGTACCATGGCATTTGGGGGCAAGTTGGGAAAAAGCTAAGGGTAGTCAGACCAAAACATGCCACTAGTCCATATATCCGTTACAATGATGTGAAAGCATTCGCACTTTCTTTTCCCTTAGATCTGAATTTCTAGAATTATTTCATGGTCTACATTTCAAGAATCCATTCTTTATTCACCAGTCGTATTGTCCATGAGCTAAACGATTCTACTACCATTGATACTCTTACTGCTTATAATACTACTCATGATAATTTAATCTCGCTGTGCTAATATATAGTATGGTAATTTGAAGTGATGTACATATATCCCAGAATCCACGTTGCTGATATCTGATTGATAATATTTAGTACAATCGTACGATTAACTATTCCAACCTGTAAATGACTTTATTACTCATGTGAAGTGATTATTCTATAATTTAGAAAATAAGATGGATAAACATTTTAAAATAATATTAAGTTTAAAGGAAACTTACTTTATTTAACGGATGTTTACCAACAGCTAAAGACTGTAAAGTTTCAAGTTGATCACCAAGATGCTGGAATACAAAGAGATAAAAAAAAAACAGAATTATATTTACTGTAGCTAATTATTTTAAACAGGAAGTCTTCTATTCATATAAACTTGGAACAGTTGTTACAAAAGACTTACTAAGAATGAGGATTAACTTCATTGTGATTACTGAAGTAAACATTAGACATTAAAGAGGAAAAATGTATTTGTAAAATCTCAGCGAATGAATTTTAAGTAAATCCAACGTTTCGCCTGGCAGTCTGGTTCAAGTTTTTTCAAGGAAAATATAATCAAACAACAAAATTATCGAATATACATAGGTACAAGGTTCTCTGGTTTACTGTATACTGAATAAAACATCTAATCAACGTGAACCCTGTTTGAAGTAGGTATTTACATAAGTGTGTAAGAGACTTGTGTTGTGAAAACGAAAAGTGTTAAGATAACAGCTTGTGTGTCTACGTAAGTGATGTTAGAAGAAATTTCATTCAAATATAAATTGAAAAAGCTTGGACCAGATTGCCAGGCGAAACGTTGGATTTACTTAAAATTCATTCGCTGTTTTTACAAATACATTTTTCCTCTTTAATGTCTCACATTAACTCGGCGCCCAAATATTGTGAAACTATTCGTTCAAATTTAGACGAAAGTTCTTATAAACTTTAGACAGATTATATTCTATCAAACATCAAATATTCGGTGTTAAATTTGATTAAAACACAAAAATAATTAGTACAATATAGCTAAAGGAAATAAACTACAAAATGCACATAGAGACTGAAGAAGGATAATATTTTACAAGCTTTCACCTAAAATTGTAAAAAAACAACGTTCATAGACTATTAGATTCCGCGAGAACCTAATGCTAGTTCCCATCACTGATTTAAAATCAAGGTTTTTTAATTCTATTAGATAGATACTCCACATTTATCGATCTATTTTGTGTTGAAAATGTTTTAGTTCTCTTACATCTAAGAAGAAAAGTTACCCTCAAGTGAAACCAGTTACAAGCGAATCAGTACACTAACATCAAAATATGAACTTAATCAATTGAATATTATGAAGCAATCTTTAATCTATGATTTTTAGCAAAAGATTTCAGTTAGAGTACTCCACTTAAAATTCAGAATATTTTCAATTAATTAGCTGATAGTAGCTCGTAATATATTGACCAGGTTCTGATGATTGATGTGACTTACTCTATTCACTACACTAGTTATATACAATCTAATATAGTATACAATTCCTTTTAAAAGCATAATACCAGTGAGTTCCATCGGTAATTATAAGAATCCCAATTTGATAGCACATGAAACTAAGCAAAAAAGATAGAATGGAATGAATATGACCAGTAAAAACAATTAAATTAACAATTCACTGTCTACTGTAAAAGAACTCAATATGTGTAAGTAAATGCTTAATCGATTTCATAGTTTCTGAAAGCGCTTTGTTCATGAATCACGAACAAAAAACAGAAGGCAGGAAATATATAGGAAAAGCTATACTTTTAAGGTTAGTTAATGCACAAAAAAACAAAGATATCTAGAGGATTACAAGTGATCGTGAGATTCTAGAAGCTTCTGGAAATCACGCTAAAATTGCTGACAAAGCTGGTGTTGTCCGACCAGGATAATTAAAATACTGATTGGTCAAAATATTTTTAGTACTTTTCTGCTCCCGAAGACTTTCTAGTAATTATCGAAGGCTCCTAATATATGCTAATACTTAACAGCCTATAGTAGCAAATAATTTCTACAGGCAAACCTGATTTTAAAAACGTCAAGGAGATAGTAACCAACAAACACTTTAACAAAAGACAATAGCTCGAGCTAACCGAATTCCTGTTTCGACAAAAAAAGTGATGAGATATGACTATGTAATCGCACAATTGTCAAACTACGAAAAAGCTGAAACATATCCTGAAGTTTTGTAATCTATGAGTACTCCTATAAGAAGAACTTTGTCAAGTTTACTGTGCGTTAATAGGCAGCTGTAATTTTTTCAACTCTATTCGTAAATATTGCCTCCAAATGCCCTGGTACAGCCGAGGGTGGGAAGAGTCAGACACGAAGGGGAGTTGGGAAACCTTGATTCAAAAGCAATGGTGCACATAGGCTTTAGGGTCCTGAGGGAGCAAACGGCGTATGAACCTATTTGTTGGTCACCGGCTACTATGGGATCGCGTCTCCTAACGTTGCTCCACTGCCTTGTGGATTACATCTATAGGTTAAAAGCTCGATGTGGTTTCCTAAGAAAACCACCTGTTTCGGTTTTGGAGCCCGGGTAGTATTCCAGCCCTCACAACAATCAAATGATGAAGTATGGAGCATATATATTCGATGCCTTTTTGTGCCAGTATTTATGTGTTGAAATAATTAAATAAATTCGTAAATATCGACTCATGAGGAAAGCTATTAACAACTATAAACAGGAAATCTGACCAAATAACAGACGTCTTAAGAAATATTGGATAGGTTCATATGTATAATCAACTAGTATAAAAAAAAATTGACAAAAATTTGAAAAAATTATCGGGGAAATAACATGGTTTAGTTGTAAAGAACATTGCTCTTAAACAAGTGATTGTACGCAACAATACATCTATTCAATAACAAATTTTAGAAAAAAATCCCTCAAGACAAAACATTAAATCATACTTCATAATCATAAGTTAAGTCAACTTTTGGACCTAATAAAAAGACTTCCAAATCGTTATGTATCCAACATTTGCGTAGACGTGCATTCAACAAAGGTGCCTCAAAACGTGGATTAGTACCAATTAATAATACTAGATCAGCATCTTCTATACCAGTAATACGACTGTTGAATAAATAATTACTACGTAGATCCGTACTAGAAAATATATAAAACAATAATGATATTAATGAATAAATAGTTCATATAAAATATCAGATGAAAAATTTGATTAAAAATGATCTGGTATATCTCGTTGTTGATATTTTGACTGAATTATGATTAGTCTTGGGCTGATTTCTTCCTCCGCTGGGATATCGTTCGCTCTTTCCCATAGTAAGTTGTTGCTGATAGTGTCTGGCCAACGGAACCGAAGTAGCTCCGCCTGGAGCCCCTCTTGGTCTACTGTAGGTCCCAAGCCCGGATAAAAGAGGGGGAGGGGGCCTGGGGTTAGCGACCCCATCCCGTAGAACAATAACTCGCTAAAAAAACGCTAACTAGAAAAATTATTCAAACCACCTTTCGCTGTACAAGCTACAAAAAGTACAATCAGAGATATCGTGGTGACTGGCAATTGAAAAGAATGAACATTATTCATATGTCGACTGTTGAACTGCTAACATCTAATTGGCGATCATTCAATATTTATCGCCAGAATCGATAGAGAAATAAGAAAAGGAAACTTGTTGAAATACTTTGTGCTAAGAATTCTATAATGTACCAGAAATATAGTATTGAATAAAGTCGATAATAATATGTGTAAAAGTGAGTGACTATTCGGACTTAATAGTTAAGGGGAAAACGCCTTGGGTGCTCAAAGATTTATTATTATTATTATTTTAACACATTAGTATAGGTACAGGGAGGCACCAAATACATATGCGCCACACAAATCTCAATTGATTTGTGTGAGGGCTGTGATACTGCCCGGGTGCCCAGACCGAAGCAGGTGGTTTTCTTAGGGGGCCACACCCCGAGCCTTTGACCTGAACGTCTGACCCACAAGACAGTGGAGCATCGTGAGGAAATGCAGTCCCATGGTAGCCGGTGACCAACGATTGGTTCATACGCCATTTGTTCCCTCAGGATACTGGAGCCCATGTGCACCATTGGTTTGGGGTCCGGTTAAAGCACCAGACATTCGCTTTTCGTCCTCTCATTTTTGTAAACAACACCCCCGCCACGAGAAGGCAGTGAGTAGGACTTCCCTGGCAGAGGCTATATACGCATGGCCATGTGAGAGCATTTCGAGAGGGAGAGCGGACTCTCCCCACTCTCGGCCGTACCAGGGCATTTGGGGGCTGGGTGCTCAAAGAGAAAAGTACTGGGTTAAAGCCCCGTAATGAATGTTAACCCTGAGATGCAGGTACATCCAGCTAGTGAATTCTGAATAGAACGAAATATACGTCCTAAATACAACTACTAGTCATGTATTCCATCTATTCTGTGAGTTTAAAATGTTAAATTTTATTTAGTTAAGGTAATAAGGCTACAAAACATTTGGATTGTATTATTCCTACCCGATTATATTTTTATTGATGAAAAGTGGGGATGAAAATACTTTTTTGATGACAGTTTGTTTCAAACCAATAAAGTATTTTATAGTAAGCCTTTACTTAGAAAACATTACTAATCAACTAAATCCCTACGCCAAATACGTGATTTCAGTTAGGAGATAGAATTCTATAGTAGTGAATATTGAGGAGACATAAAATTTACTATCCTAATCATCGGATGAGATTTATCATGTTACATTACATATGGTAATTAATAATTTAACTTTACAAGATACTGATTTTTAAGATTATTTCAAGCTTTGATTCACTAATTTTTATTGGGTTTCTTTTTAAAACTACACATTATATTCCTTATAAATGGTTGCTACACTTCCCGGTATTATTTTTATTTTAACTACTGTGCTATTTCTTTCTTAATTTATTTCTTGACAGTACTAATATGTGGGGTAATTTAGTTGAGCTCTACGTATCAGCCTAATTTTTCACTTTACAAAAGTAAAGTGAACCACAGGGAATAACCGAGATTCATAATTTTTTTAAAAAATAAGTGGGAAGAACGGTAGTAGTGTTTTTTTTTGAAAAATAAGTGCTGAGAACGGTTCTAAAAAGAGCAGTGAAATTAAGAAATACAAGCAAAACTCAAGATTTATTGAAAAGTCAACAATTAATAACTTTAAGCTACCGTAATTGATTTTTTTCGTCATATTTTCTAAGGTTCCAAATCATTAACAGCTGATTACCTTGTGGTTGTTAACCAGAGGAGCTATACTTCTCTACACACTTCAACTGAACACTAATTAACTACAAAGCATCAACTCTATGTCTTTATTTGACTTCCCCTCTGTTATGTCTTTTCTCCTCTACTGTTATGCCAATATACCAATGCATTTCGGTGTGGAGCATAACTGAGGGTATACATGTAACGCATATCCGCTTACCATTAGTCGGCAAATTATTGTATAATCATTCATCGATTTTCTATTTTGCTGCATGCCCAATGTTCGATTTCGGTTCAACTTTGCTAGTTCTTCCAAAAAATTTGTAGTCAAAAACTAAAAATCTTAGACTGTATTTTTATTTTTCTAATCTAAATTTCCCAATTTAATTTAACCAATTACACTACCGAAAAAAAGCTTGCAGAATTACCTATTTGTTGGAAAACTTTCTTCAGTACAAACTAATTCAGAATTCAATCGATTAATTAAATCTTTCAATGCTACCATTGATTCAGCATCAGCGAATGGACCTACAAGTCCAGCCACTTGATTTGCTCGAGGTATACTTCCTTCAGATGATCCAAATATAGGAAGTATCTTTTCCGCAATTTTAACCAATACATCTTCCCATGTACTTTCGCTTAGCTTGTCAGATTTTTTTAAGAATGGAACAACCAACCGTTGTCTGTTTAAACCGTCATACGAGAATCTAGACTTATCGGCTAACCATTCTTCATTCACATCCTAAAGAGGAGTTAAGGAGAAAAAAAGATAGTATATTGAATATTTTTAGAAAAGAGACAAAGTTCAGGGTTAGGCTAAACAATAATGGGAATTTTGTTTTTGATAGTATCGTTACTATTATTATCGGAAAATTCTCAATAATGAAACTACAAGCCAACTGTAATGCATACTCTGATTACTTATTTGTCGAAAACTTTTAACCAGAAGAAATTACTTACTTATGAGTAAGCTGAGTTGTTAAAACGAAAATAGCTACGGTCTGCTTTAACCCCTGGAGCAATGGACATTAATAAGCAGCGATGAGAAATTTCAAAGATGAAATATTTATTCAGTGTTTTTTTATTTTCATAGGTTCCCTAGTTGATGAAGTCAGTTCGTCATGATGATTAGTCTCAGAAATCTAAGATTTATTGTTACAATGAGATTGTTATTTGGCATAGTATCACGTCAAATTGCATTTCATAAAATTCGCTGATTTCTTAACTACGATTAATAAAAGACAAATACAAATTGAGTTGGAAGAGTGTGAGGACGGCCCGCGATGGACTCAAGGGAGCTACAAGAGAGCCGAAGACATTCAATTCAATCATATTTTTGAAGAACATGACAGAATCTCGACGTGTAGCGTCCCGATCGGACAAATACTCAAAACCATTGCATGAGGACTGGATGATTGTAATGACAATCCCATATTTACTAAAAATTTTAAATACCTGGGTGTTTTTAACATACATGACACTGCTTGGAATAAGATTCCTTCCCACTCGTCTTCTTTCTTCTAACTTGAGACTTGGAGTGTTCTAGTGTTCGAGTGCTCAAGTTGTACGCGGTATAGAAGTTCTACATATAGCAACAAGTTTGTTTTAGACATTCATTCACGCAGACAGACAGTAAGAGGTGCAACATCGAGAAAGGGTTCTCAGCCTACTCAAAATAATACACATTGGGAATGTTAATAACTCAGAACAGACTGAACAGTGTGACAAGGGGACAGGTACTGGGTAAAATATTAAGTGTACAGACGCACACACAGGCACATAAACGTATACACGTATAACTACAGGGGAGGTATATGTACTGAAAGTCCCAATTTCTCATGAGAAGAACAGTTATTAGGAAGATAAAAACGACTTAGTAGTCACATACTATCTGAGTTATTAAAATCTGTCCAGAAGCTAGGATGAATCATGGGTGTAATAGTATTATACGCTACAAATTTACGTTGTTAGCGTTCAGTGACACAAATAATGAAGAAACCTATGATATAACTGAAACTGTGTAGACCGAACTACTAACAAACGTCAGAAAATAGGTGTCGTATATTCTTATAGTAAGAGGAAACTCGATAACTATAACTAGTATACCTGCTGACAGCATATATACAGGGTTAAATAAACATTCAGAAACTACAGAATCACTTATCTATTCACTGAATTGTCGTACAGCTTCAATAAAACACAAGCATTACAGTTAAGAATAAAAGAATATAAACTGGCAAATTGTCAACATTCCGTTGGAATTTGATTAGAGTGGAATTAGGAACATATAGGGATAGTCACTTAATCGTGAAAACATTTAGGTTCACTAAACCTAAAATTATTGTTATCGATTATTGGTTGCATGTTTAGTTGTAGCCACTTAACGGGGTCAGTAAAAAGAGGTGACATTTGTAATGACTTTTAAAATATACATTATTACTCAGAATAAAACGTTTAACAACCCATAACTAACTTCGTTCAACCTTGGGATTATTCTTAAAACTTGATTTGTACGCATAGAGACTACAATGTTTGCACCCAACGCATCCATTACATCGATCGATTCAATACGTCTTGTCTCCCAAGGTCGTGCAGTAAATGCATACGGTTTAGAAGTAAGAGCACCAACGGGACATAGATCAATAACATTACCAGACAATTCACTGAAGAACGGTTTATCGATATATGTACCAATTTGGAGAGAACTTCCACGACCAGTAGTCCCAAGATCAGGTACACCAGCTATTTCATTAGCAAATCTATTTTATTCAGATTATAGCCACAAATTAACATTAATAATGACTGATATAATGTACACATCATTTACAATAATTCTAACAAAAAAACATTCTTGATTGTGTTGCATTCTCTGAGCTCGTGGAAGCTTACTAGTTAAGTTTTAGTTGTCATTCTGAACAACACAGTCAGCGCTTACTTTACATGGAAGTGAGTTGTTTAAATACTCTGTAAGCCTTAAATCAGTATCAGTCTGCTCTGATGATATTATTTTTGAAATGATATCTTCGGAGATTTTCCAACAAAGCAAGAATGACAATATTACTTGCATGATACGATGAATTCAATAAATTTCTTTGCATTCTCTTCAGTCATACACAAGTTAATATGTTTAATTATTTCTAATTAATAAGATAATGTTAAACTCAGTTGATAATAAGTTATAAGTAGCGTGAAAGAAATTAAGTTAAACATTAAGAAAACGTTCTTTTATAACTGCTTTTGCACTACACATTGTTTTTCACTTATTACTTGAATATAACATTATCCTATTATGATAATTACACATATTAACTTGGATGTAGCCGAAGAGAAAGCAACAAAATAAAATGTATTCATAGTATCCAGGAAACATTGTCGTTCCTCGTTTGCTTAAATTTTTGAAGGGAACCAATTCGAAGATTTTATCAGCTTTATTTATTATGTTATTTCTATCAAATGTCTTGTTCAATTGACATCAAAATGGAAAGTCCACACAGAGAAATATATAGTCATTTCGCTCTTATTACCGTTTCATAATTGAAACTATATAAATTAAAAACGCTAACAAGATTATCGGTATAGGGTTGTGCAGATTGTTGAGTTTTCATTGAGATCATGAATCGATCAATGTTAGGCGACCACTAAAAGCCTGGAAGCACTAAACTGATTGAAGTTAGACATTAGCACCATTGCATGTCAACACAGAGGTCTAAAGGTTGAGGATTCGCGCGAAACCGGAGGTCCTGGGTTCGAGTCTCATGTGCGAGATGGTGGATACGTGCCGCTGAGGAGTCCAACAGTAGGAAGAAACGACCGTCTAGTACTTTCAAGTTTTTAATAGTGACCTAACATTGATCGGTTTATGATCTCAATAAAAAGCTGACAAGGTTATTAATTATTCTATTAAATGCTCAGTCACTAAAATTTCAGTAATAATAAAAAGAATATTATTAAATAAAGTGAACAATTTGATCAACCTAAAGAATTAAACTGACAATTTAACGCAACTAATTCATATCAGTTTATCCATAGCCTCTACATAAAAACGAGAACAATTTTTCACTCATTTTTTTCCTACTAGAATGAAACATTTATCTAGTATTCTCTAACATTCAACGATTATTCCAACTGAAATTAATTTGTGATAAATACAATCTATAAATTAAACTAATCTCTATAAAAGACCATGCAACAAATAAATCTATTAATTACCTTACACATCTTGTACAGTGTATACAACGAGTCATAATAGTTTTAATTAATGGACCAAGATTTTTATCTTCAACAGCACTACATAAAATGAATGTAAAAAATAAAGTAAATATATATACATGGTTGGATAAAAACCTAAAATAATTCTACTGACGAATGTTGATTCTGTGGAGAGAAAAACAAACAAACCATGAAGTATTCAGATTTACATTAGATCTGACCATACTGGCAAAATATAAAACTGTAGTGAAATGATACTAACGTGTAACCAGTGAAAATAACATATGATTAGTCATTGAGTGTGGAGAGACATAACTCAGGTAAATATTTAGTATGTGATTTCCTTTTGTTGATTATTTCTCCGGACTTCAACTGAGTATAGGCTGTTTGTAATTACGTTGAATAAAGTCCTGTCTAACTTGTGCTCTGGTTCTCTATATTTGGTTACGAATAGCGCATCCGGCATAATACCATCTCAGTCTGTGTATAGCGTATCGAGCGAATGTTCAGTCTAGTGGTCGTATGATCTTCGGCACATGTCGTATTATCATAGCATAATGTCGTAAACTAGAATATTTTTTCCTCCCGTTCTATCAGATATATTTCAATGAAGTGTTAATTGATACTGGTTATTATCAGCCGTTAAAGAATTCATGCTTGGAAATAGAACCAGACAAATAGTAAGCCACGAAGGTTTCTGAAATTAACTCTTTATGAATCTAATAAGATAATTCTGTTTACGTGTCTTAGTAAAACGTTAAATCTTACCAGAATTATATTACTTGCACACATTAAAAAATCCAAATCAAACTGTAGGCTTATCTTATACGTAATATCAGCTTTATGGTAAAATGAGTGATATGACTCTATAAGTAGACATTCGTGTACTCGGCTTTGGGTCACACTTAAAGTGTGAAGATCAGTGATACTACCCAGTTACTCAAATCGAAATGGGTGGAGAAACTCGAACCTGAAAATTAGTAGCTGGAAGTCAAACAGCTTAAACATTAAGCCACCGCTGTCCATGAGAAAGTCAATATTCTATCTCTGATTAACATGAACCAATCAAAAATACCTATTATCAGTTATGACCCACCACTACTAAGTATGATAAGGGGGGAGCAATTAGTTAAAATTCAACCTTATTTGAATTTACAAATTAGTTATTACTTTTGAAACCACGGTCACTCAGTTAGTCTTTAGGAAAGAACTTGCCACATATGTATATCGGTCTAAGTTGATACATCACATCAGCATATCAAGATGAAGTTATTATGATGAATACCAAAGTGGTAGAAGTTGTGACAACATCCATACCAGTAGAGGAGATCAGGTATACAAAGTCTGATTCGAGAAAAAATATTTAACTGGCAGGATGAGAGGGATAAAATAGTTTTAAAACTCTAAAACTAAGGTAAGGCAGACAGTGAATGTATCCGAGCTACTATGAGTCATGTCACTCAACGTCATAATAATTGTACATATCCCAACCAAGTAGTCAGCACTTATCAGTATAGTACCCAATTTTAATTTAATTGCTACTACTTTTTTTACAACCAACTCTTACACCAGCCAACATAGTGAGTCAAAATAGGTGATGGGTGGTTTCAAACAATAGCCAATATTTCGACTGATCTAAGACAAAAATTGATCCGGATCATTCATTAGATATAAGCTCATTTATTACTCTGATTTTTACTTTATTCTATGAATAATGGTGAGATAACACGGATGTCTTAACTAAAATAAGTGAGGTAGAATTCAAATTTGAAAGCTAAATTGAAATAATTATGATTTTTTAAAGGGTAACTAATAGTCCATTAAAAAATTCATCACTGTTCAGTAAATGTATTGAAAACAACAGCCGGAAAAAAACATTCCTAACAATAATACTAGTTGGTATGTAACCGTTAAAAATAACTTGAACCAGTATGATTTTTCATAATGGTGCTAGGATATGTTTCTATAAATTTATAATGCATCTGATTCTTAATTTGTAATATATCTAGCATTTTTCCGTTTAATTAGTGAGTAAATGTTGCATATAAGAGAATAATTTTCACTGAAGGATTTCATTTCAAACTCTAACTATCACTTTACATACTTTTTTTTCATCCATCAAATTGAAATGCGCCACAGTAGCATATTCGTAGAAGAAATACGTGGATAGCTTTGGATCAATGAATTCAAGTTCTCAGTAAAAATTACACTATTATAAGTCGCACTTTTATTGAACATTTCAAAAAGATTGTTTTCTTTACACTCAAAATGTTTACTTTTAATTTAAGCATAAGTAGTGATTTCAAATAAAGTTAAGTAGAGTGATAGTTTATGCATAAAAAAAATGACTATCGTAAAAAGGAAAAAATGTACACATACCGTTTTCCAGTAAAGCGAATGTCAACAAAACGTGAACGATCCGATCCAAAATTCATTGATTGATCCTTGAGATGAAAAGCAAACCACAGGAAATAATTTGTAACAAATTTTACTGACATATTTAACAGCAGTATATTAATGAAAAAGTATATTAAACCATTTGGTGAAGTGTAAATTCTATTTTTAGAAAATGGAAAATGCCGTAATCTTAACAAGTTAAAGTTCTGACTATTTCACACTTTAATCAGGTTCAAATCAGAACACACTGATCGGTCCGTCTTAATGCAATCAACGTTAATGGACGAAGCGAGGAGCTTGAATATTTCTGTATAAATCATTTATAAAATTCATTTATTATGTTACTGCATCTTTGTGGTTTAGATTATTAGAATATCTACTGTTAGCTGTTGGTATAGTGCCCAAGAAATACTAGAAAGTAGAAGAAAATGAAATTATCGTATTGTAAACTAATGAAGTTCTTGGTATTACATAATACATAACCATGTTAACTAATAGTAGGAATTACAGAGCAAAATAGAAAGACTTTAATTAACACTAGAATAAAGAAATTTCAAATAATAATTGGTGATTCACTCGCATGTTGTTATGACGAAGAACGATTGTTTAGATTTATGATGATAAACGAGTTTCGGGTTGTTAAAATGAATGAATAGAATGCTGATCGATAAATAGGACTCAATGACGTGATGTGGTCGAGTGGCAACTACGCTCATGAAACCGGATTATTAATACAGACCGCATAATAAACTTTGATCAAAATGTGATAACTAATCGGTAGAATAGGTTTTCTATTTTGATTGAGATCATGAATCGACTAATGTTAGACCACCATTGAAAACCTGGAAGCACTGAACGACCGTTTCGTCCCAGTATGGGACAACTCAGCAGTATACTACATGTCTCTATGTTAAAAAAAGTCAAATCAATCCATTAGAGCTCTTTGGTATCTTGTTGCAAAAAATGTTGCTACTTGAAAATATATAAGTAGCTTCATATTTTTAGAATTTTAATTAACCAACTAAACTACCACAAAAGTACATAAGAAAAGGCAAATTACCTGCAGATCACATTCTCCACCTTGATCACAAATAGGACAATCCAACGGATGATTGACTAGTAGAAATTCCATAACGCCTTCACGTGCTTTGCGAGTTACTTCTGAATCCGTTTTAATGCTCATACCACGCATTACAGGCATTGCACAACTAGCAACAGGTTTCAACGACTTTTCCACTTCAACTAAACACATACGACAATTGCCAGCAATCGATAATCGTTCATGATAGCAAAATCTAAGATTAACAATTACAATAACAATAGTGAGATGTAAAAATTAAAATATCAAAGCTGTGAACATGTACAAAAATAATTAATTCCAGTCTATTTCAGTATACTTTACAGTTTAGAATAGATTAAAACAATCAGTGTTTTTGAATCGTATGCCTGTAACACAAATCACGAAGACAATACAACTATGAAAAAAACACATTTGCTCAACTTTCTATCTTATTAATGACACAAACTCCGCCTGTAGCTCTTTTAGATTTACTGCAGGTTCCAAGCCTAGATAAATGAAGAGGGTTGGGCATGGGGTTAGCAATCCTATCTCGTAGAAAATAACTATGCAAAAAACGCTAACCATAATAAATATTTCCAACCATTTAAACTCTACTATGAGAGATGAAGACTCGTCGTGAAATAGGGTTATGACGCCTCACATTGAAAGCCAATATTTGTCGGAAGTCACGACGCCGATATCCATTCTAACAACCACCGCAACAACTATTGTAAGTACATACAATGTCCTATTATTATTATTTATTGGTTTGAACACATAAATATTGGTACAGGAGGGCACCAAATATATATGCGCCACACAAATTTTCATTTTATTTGTGTGTGGGCTGTGATACTGCCCGGGTGCCCAGACCGAAGCAGGTGGTTTTCTTAGGGGGCCACACCCCGAGCCTTTGACCTGAAGGTCTAACCCACAAGGCAGTGGAGCATTGTGAGGAGATGCAGTCCCATGGTAGCCGGTGACCAACGATTGGTTCATACGCCATTTGTTCCCTCAGGATACTGGAGTCCATGTGCACCATTGGTTTGGATCCGGTTATAGCGCCGGACATTCGCTTTTCGTCCAGACAATACGGAAGACCGGAAGAACTAGACAAATAGTCACGGAAGTGTTGGAGATACAACTTGGTGGTGCTCGCAACAAGTGAAACCAATCGGACCCAAGCTGGATAGAAAAGGTTAGATTCGAGAGAGTTGTTGATGTAATCTTGTCATGAAGAAAACGCTTCGCACACCCAGAGAGTTGCTCTGATACTGTCTAAAGAAGCAAGAAAAGCACTTATAGGATGAAAATCTCATGCATTCAGAATCACCAAAGCATCCTTCAAAACAAACATGAAGGGGGTTACAATAAATGATATCCAGTGTTATGTGCCCACTAATGATAGTAATGACGAAGATAAAGATCAGTTTTATAAGAGGTTGCAGCCGATCGTTGAGAAGTGACCAGGAAACGACCTGATCATCCTGATGGGAGACCTAAACACCAAAGTTGGAATGGACATTGGATATGAAGATATTTATGTATATAAATGTAAACGATAAGGAATCGAACACAATCGATGAGCCTTTTAGCATGCATAGAACTGTTTTATCAGTTATTTTATGAATAACAGAGAATCAGTAAAAACCTTATATTTACATACCGAGGTATCTGTACACCAGCTAAAGCACATGCCTGTAAAATAGTCATACCAGGTTCACATGTGACTGGTTTTCCATCTACCAAAACTTCGATTTGTTGAGAAGTAGGTTGGACAGGAGGAGGTGGGGGTGCATTTGTTGGACTTTTGAAGGTGTTTGTACTCGATGTGGTTCCAGACACTCCAGCGACCACTTCTTTGAGAGGGACATGTCGAAATGAAGATGCTTGTCTAAAGATGGCTTTGGAAATCAAATATGGATATGTTAAAAAAGAGAAGCGAGTCTACGATATTATATATATGCGAAGTAAAAACTGCTGTTAAACGTAAGGTTTCCAACAGTAAACGGCAAGTCAGTCGATGAGGGTATACACCTTTATGCACAAAGGTGACCAGGTATTGGATGTATTACATATATTATTATTAACTACCTTGAGGCCCAACAACATCCTGTGAAAGATTATAATAAAACCAAGGGTGACCAAACCAAGAAGTGGGATCAGTTCGTCAAGTCATTTACTGTTAGTCTGAGCCATGCCCATAGGTTTATATGCAGGACCATAATCTACAGTCGGAGCGGCAAGACTATACTATATCAATGAGCTTGAGTACCCAGTCAAAGCTAGGCTAACCGATGACGGAATTTAAAACGCTGCTCTGGATGATTTTCATGATATTTTGTACTTCAAAAAAAAAAGGATGACAGTCCCCTTATGAAATGAGATGTTAGGATCATTGTATTTGGTTGAGGAATGCTAAGGTTAGGAGTATTAAGGTAAATTTAAGAGTTTTGGTGATGAACAAGGGGTTCGGTTGTTCCAGGGTTAGAAGGTAAGGACGATGTGTTTTAGCGAGTTACGTTTAAAAAGATGTAGAGCTAGGAATAGGAGTCCATATTGACTACAGAACTATGATATTCAACCTGGATTATTGATATTTAGCACTAATAAATTCACTAATTATATCAAAACATCAGATTCTCTGCATTTCCATCGTTGTTTTATATTCTGGAGCTTATCGGTATGGTATAGTCTTGTCGTTAAATCTGGGTGATAGAGCCTGATATTGAGCTGTTTCATCCATACAATATCTTTCTTGTACTATTAGTTGTCATACAAGTCATCTTTTACATTCGTTTTACTATTTGAGCTGTAATTGTCATGCTCTTTATTTCAGTCAGGTATCCTTTATCACGAATTTTGTAGGGACATCGATACACTATGGGGACCCAAATAAAGTAGATGGATTATTTCGGAACTGACAATGCAATTCCTCGTCACCTATCGACCGAAGCTGACTCGCATTAAGTTTAATTATACACTCCGTGTTTAAACTTATGCTTTAATTACTCCTATAGATGAATATATATTGTGTCCATTACATAAAAACACATGAAAGGATTAAAATCATAGCTGACTAGTTGATGTGGCCTTAAAAGACTAGCAGCGTTACTGCATGCTAGGTTCTGTTGGCCACTCGAAAATGAATACACAAAGTGGAAATAGACGTAATAAAATAGTTACGCTGGGAATTCATAGGTACAGAAACCTAATAGTTGGCTCTAGTCATACCTTGCTTGTCTAGGTTTAAAATCAGTTGTTGAGGTTTAAGTGCCTACTTCTTCTATGTCTCTGCAATTTTATTAAGCAAACTCTCATCAGTATGGAAATCATTCTTAGATTTTAGCAACCATATGCATAGTTATTCAGGACATGAAAAAACTCTTAAACGTTTTGAGGACACAGACATGTTGGATGAAGATCTATGAGAAATTAAAAAACAAATGAATGTTATTATTTTGGGACTGTGTTTGGTGTCGTGGAAGACTAATAATTAGGTTTATTTCGATCTAGGATGCACACAGATAGTTGGTATTGCAAGATTCAGATAATTTACATTACTTTTGAACACGTTTGATTAGGAATGTTTTGGAAGACATTGTAAATTTTCATTTGTAGTAAAACAGCTGTTAATGCTAGGGCTTCTACTCACTCAGCCAGACACTAACGCAAGACCGTCTTCTTAACATTTTCTGTTAGCAAGCAAATCGACTGCGCGCGCACCGTGACCTTGGCGGATATAATAAGTGGTTGCTTACATACTGTGTCTACTAAGTTACACAACACATTCTTCTATTTGTAAAGAACCTGGTATATCAAAAAAGGCCAATAAGCGTTTTGAAAAGGGAAGTGATTTCGTATTTGTTGTAACTAAATCTTTTATACTCTGGACAGTCCTGAAGTAGAAGCACGGACAGCCCTGGATGCACTAGGATATTCGACGTTTACCAAGACAGAAGGAGAAATATTGGGACATCACCATCAGTCTTGGCCAGTAAGTACGACGGAACGCTACTGATCAGTAAGAAATAAATTTATAATTACAATCCAGGAAGCTCAACGAAAATATGAAAATCAGTTCGCCCATTCTGTCCTCAAGCAGCCTGAGAGACTATTGTCGTATGTAATTTACAAATAAAGGACGCAGCATTGTACCATAAACCTAATTATGAAACGGAACGGATCTAGAATGAAAGAGGAAAGAGCAAAGGCTATGGAAAACTATCTTCACTAAGGAGCCTCTTCTACACGAAGAACGAGACCCAAAAATAGAGTTAAAAGTCGTCTGCACACCGTGGATCTTGATTGAGACGATACACTTAAAGCCCTTAGCATTTTTGATGCAGAAAATTTACCGGGTGAACTACGCTTTGAAATCTTGAGACAAATTGCACAATATATTGCAGACTCACTACCTGTGATATATATCACTTAGTCAAGGTAAATAACCTACGGATTGGAAATATGCAATAGTCATGCCAATATAACGAGCGGGATCAAGACATCGTCCATCAAACTACAGACCTGTCAGCCTCACCAGTGTCGTGGTTAAAATTCAGGAAAGAATGATCAAAAAGACCATGAAGACATTCGTTGAAACCAGTGACTTTTAGAACAGTGAACAACATGGTTTCAGAAAAGGTTTATTTTGAGCAACAAACCTCCTCATAGAAAGAGGGAAGTGGATAAAGGCTCTAGATAATGGAAAACCAATGGATGTTGTTCACATAGACTACAACGAATCATTTTATAAGGTGCCAACAAATAGACTACTCGTAAAGCTGGAAAATCTAAACATTGACGATTATTTCCTAAAATGGTTTAATGACTTCGTAGTAGGTCGTAGGCGGAAAGTAGAAACAAATTCTGAATGCTACTCCTGAAAACCAGTACTTAGTGAAGTACCGCGAATCTCTGTCCTAAGCCCCTTACTTCCAAGAGCATTAGGATGTATATTAGTCATCAAGGTAAATATGCATACATGGTGAATAACATTGAGCTACCTGTCGTTCAGGTACACAATAACTTGGGAGTCATCGTTAGCCGAGACTTAAAAACTACCGCACTCTGCCATGAGTGCAAAACCTTATGTTCATAATGCAGAACCTTCAGCCACGTCGATGCAAAGACTATCTTGGCTTAGTATACAGTACTATCCTAACCTAAACTGAAGTGCTACATAAATGCGGCTAGCCCCTGCCTAAAAGGAGTGTGAGCATTGGAAAAGGTCCGAAGAATCGTATCTAAGCTGACCACCGCAATCGCAGAGCTTTAGCATGACGATCGGCTGGATAAACTAAATCTTATCAATAGATAAACATTTGAAACAGAAGGTCAAACGTGGGTAAATAGACTTAGAGTAGTCATCACAAAACATTAAAACCATCATGTAACAAGAAGTGTGTAAAGGTTTAGATAGTGAAGAATACATACAGGAAGAGGCAGGAAATTACGAACAAATGATGGATGTCAAAATAAGGTCAATGATAGCAAAAATAGAATAAAATAAATAAGAATAATAAATAGGTCGTTCGTTAAGTTATAACTTATCCTTCGTTTGAGTAGACATCGCTGGTCGACTAGAGAAGGTCAACGCGAAATTGGCTGCGTAGAATGTCCTGCTAATTACTTTCGTTAACCTATCTCTCAGAGTATCATTAGCCACATCCCCGTTGAATTGCAGTTTCATGTATAAATGTTTCTTTCGAACAGTCGAAATCTCCGACTTTTTTATTTTATGCATGTACTTCTTAATGAAAGCACTGGGGTAGACGGCCTCGGTCAGTGATTTGATGATAAATTTCAGCTCCTGACTTAAAGTATCCACTGTACAGATCCTTTTAGCTCTGACAATGAAACATCTAACCAATTTTTTGTAGCCGATAGGTGTAAAACTATAGAAGTGAGTGTACTGGCAGGCAAAAGGACATTTTCTATACACGCTTCTGCCTAATGAGCCATCACTTCGTCTGGTTAGTGTGACGTCAAGGAACTTTAGCTTTTTTGTCATACTCGCTTTCAACAGTAAAACTGATCGTCGGGTGTACTCTGTCGAATTGTTCTAGTAGTTTTTCCTTATTGGTGTTTTGATCCACAATAATGAAAGTGTTGAAGATGCTCAGTGGACTGACGCTCTCCCACTCGTCTTACTAGGCATACGCAATGCAGTGAAAGCTGACATTGGACACACTGCATCTCAACACGTTTATGGTACGACCCTTCGACTTCCAGGAGAGTTCGTGGATTCTTCATCCTCTTCGATGGACATGGATCTAACCTCCTACGCGAACAGGCTTACAAACGCAATGCGTTCAGTTAAGCCTGTTTCCACTCGACCACAATCAACTGATGTTTTCGTTCAACCTGACTTACGATATAGTACACACGTATTCGTACTTCGAGACTCACATCGACGACCACTCGAATCAGCATACGAAGAACCTTTCAAAGTTCTTCAACGCAAACCCAAGTACTATGTAATCGATAAGAACGGAATCGACGATAGCATCAGCATCGACCGCCTCAGAGCAGTGTATTTAGAAGGAATTCCTATTAACGTCGACTTTCCTTCAGTACAATCGCACGACACGATTCCTGCCCTTATAATACCTCAATCGTCAGACAACACACACGTTGATACTTCGGCGGTATCAGAAAATAAACTCAAAACAACGCGTTCTGGAAGAAGAGTAAGATTGCCCGAACATTTGAACGATTTCTGCACGTAAGATACTAGTTGAAATTTTATATCATCTCGATTTTCCCATGTACTATATATAATTTTTCTTTTTTAAAAAAAATTTAATACACTTACATTTTGATTTTTTTATTTAAAAAAAAAACAAAAACAGCCATATTATAAAAGTCCTTTTTACGCTATTACGTGGGCATGATTTTATTTTCCATGTTTTTCACCCGCTTTGTGTTCTCACGCGCGTACGAGTGTATTTCGACATGCACTTACATACTTTTTCTCCTTTTCCAGGACGGCTGGAAAAGACGATAAAAAAACAATGAAGTTGCGAGAAACGGAAATCTTCAATGTACTTTTTTTACTATATTGTACATCGTGGTCTCTTATAGTAAGGAAAGACGACCAGACGCTGCTAAGCTATCAGAAGAGTGTTTACCAACGACAAACTCGTTGAGTTTAAACTTCTGGCTGCCCCACTAGGGGGGGAGTGGTCTGAAGCGGTAAATAAATCCCCAAAATTAATAGCTCTGTAGGATTTCGACATTGGATGCTGACCACAGTTTTAATGGGCTCATTTAGCTGAAGGTGCTCGGTCAAGCATCCGCACCAGATCACGTGTGGGAACGCCGGGCTCAACACCTACTGCAATCGCTAGCCAGATTAGTTCAAACGATCCTCGACATATTGATAGCTTATCAAATATATCATCCATCTCCTCGCTTCTGTCTTTTGATTTCACCTGGTGGGTACGTTTCGTATTAGAAGGTGTTACTGGTTAAAGCGTTGTCAAACTCAGAATGTGCTGTACCCCGATTCAGTGTCTAGCAACCGTCTAGAGAAGAATGCCAAAGGTTGCCAGGAGTGATTAACCCATTGTTGTAAGACTGCTCCGATTGCTGAGTCGGATGCGTCTACTGCGATGCTAATGGGCGCTTTAGGGTCCTGATGAGCAATCATTGCTGCTCGGGCGATATGTTCCTTAACCGTGGAGAATGCTTTTCGTGTAGTGTCATCTAGATTAATGGATTTCGCATTTCCACGAAGTTGGTCGGTAAGGGGTTACATAAGTAGCGCGCATTTTGGTATGAATCGTCTATAAAAACTTACCAGACCGTTAAACATGTGCAATTGCTTGATGGTGGTCGGTTCTGGGTAATCCAGAATGGCCGCCACTTTTGTTCTAAGGGGTCAAATGCCTTGTGCATCTATAGTGTGTCCTAAGAAGTCTAAGGATTCGGTTCCGATTTGGCATTTCTGAATGTTTACGGTAATGCCATGTTTTTGTAGTCGGTCGAAAACAAGGTCCAGATGCTGGAGATGTGATTCTCTGTTCGGACTTGCTATTAGGCAGTCATCAACGTATGCATGTACGAAGTTGAGACCTCGAAAAACGTTATCTATGAACCTTTGGAAAGTCTGTGCCGCGTTTCTCAGACCGAAAGGCATTCGCGAAAATTCATAGAGTCCGAAGGGCGTTATAATAGCGGTTTTTTGAATGTCTTCAGTGGCCATAAGAATTTGGTTATAAGCTTATACCAAGTCGATTTTTGAAAAGACAGTTTTAACTTTCAAGGTAGCTGTCAAATCGTGAATGTGGGGCAACGGGTAACGATCGGGAATGGGTTTTGCATTCAATCGCCGATAATCACCAGTTGGACGCCAATCGTTGCTGTCCTTTTTAGGGACCATGTGCAACGGGGATGCCCATGGGCTATTTGACGGTCGTATGATTCCTAAATCTATCATATGGTCGAATTCCTTTTTCGCCAACCTTAACTTTTCAGGGGCCAGTCGGCGTGCTTTCGAGAATACAGTTGGTCCTGTAGTCGTGATGTGATGTGTAACATTGCTGGTTACACACGGCGATTTCGGTTGCGATTGGTAAATGCCAGAATATTTATCGAGTATTGGTTGATAGAATAGGTCTATAGTGTGCCTAATAGTGACTGGAGATAACCTGCAACCAGAAAAAGAAGTCAGACAAACAGATAAATTAGTATTTCCATCTACCATCCTCCGTTTGCGCGTATCGATAATTAAGTTGTGG